CTATTTATGCTCACAGTGACCGAAAGGCAACGGCTTAGATCAAAGCCGATCCGACGGCCTACAGCCGCACTAACCGCACTTCCCCCGAGACCGAGACGTGATTGGCGCACAACTTTCTGAAACTGACAGAACGCCAACGCACGTCTCCTCAGAAAAAACAGCAGCGACACGTCCTTTTCAAATTTGAAAAAATGACCGCTATCGTGCCCCCAAGTGGCGCGCTTTTTTTTTGAAATTTTGAAGTAACGCGCGCGCCGCCACATCCATTAGCATTTAGATAGGCCGGCGCGCTTCCCACCTAAATGGACGCTCGAAGAAGCCCAAGAAACCCTGACAACGCACCTCGCACCAACAGAACCAAGATTCAAAGTGCAGAACAAATCTACCTAACACCTCGCGAACTCCCTGCACTAGAGCAAGACCCTTAGCACGAGGAGTGGGGGCAATTGATGAAGGAAGATTTGGCCCGACCTCGCAAATCACGCCACATGGCAAAAAATAATTAACTCGGCACTTACCGAGGGAACAAACACCAAAGGGAAGAGACCAACGGTCTGAACTCCCTACTTAGTGCCCGAACTCCCTACTTAGAGCTTGAACTCCTTGCAAGGAGCCCGAACTCCCTACTTAGTGCTCGAACTCCCTACGAGGAGCTCGAACTCTCCCTTTGGCCCCGAGTCACACAAAGCAGAGACCCGAACTGGCTCGTCCTATGACAGTTCGGGGCCCCCCTTATCCGAACTCAAGACCGCCTCACGCACCGCTCCGGGCACTTCGCTTCCGGAGCATTGAACTGGATGAACCACACCATACCTGACACCGAAGGAGTCCGTATCCAGGGACGGCGCACCTGACTGACTTGGGATCTTATGCCTGACGGCCGCATTTCAAACGGCCACCTGCCACCATCACCTGTCAACCGCTACCTCCAGTTACAGAGACGGCTCCGACAAAAAGAGCAGTGACGGTTCTGCCCCAGCAGAGGCTATGACGCCCGAACTGGCAGAAGCACGGAAATACTCATTCCCGACCTGACAGGAGTCTAGGAGTGAGTGCGCGAGGTAGGTTTATGTAAATGAAAAGTATAATGTAGGTTTAAGTAAATATTTAAACTATAAGATGCGTTCTACTAAATGACCCTAATAGAATCATAAGAGTATACAATTGTTTTATATTTTCAACTTTTTAAATAATTAATAATTATTCATATTTTATATACTATTTTTAATATTTTTTTATAATACAAAAATAGCAATAATTAATTTTAGTTAGGTTTATTCATCAAACCGATGAAACCGATCAACTCGACCTGAGTTGGTTAGTTTTCTAGTATTTTAGGTCGGCTTTGGTTAAAAAATTTCCCAATTCGACCAAGTTGGATCAATTTCACTTTGGCCATTTGTAAACCAACCAAAAGCGAACAACCTAACCATGGATATATATTAATATTTTTACATTTTAAATATACTTTTTAATATGGAAAAGTGAGAATTTTCTCATATTTCTTAGTCTAAAATGTTTTATATCATAAATCTAAATTTTAAAATTATTTATTTTTAATAATTGCACTATAATTTTTAACATTTAATTTAATTTTTAAGTTTAAATCTTTTGAACGGACTGACCAAACCAATACACTTGAGTGGGTCGACTTTTACAAAAGGTTAGTCAGTTTCAGCTGACCAACTCTCCAACCTGACTAGGTCAATTTGGTTGGCTAAATAGTCTACGATCGAACCGAGCCAACTCTTGAACACTCATAATTTCAGCTAAATTAATAGTCTCATCTCTGATAAATAACAATAGTTTAATCTCCAATAATTATTGAAAATTTATAGCAAAAACACAATTATTGAAAATATATTGATAATGAAAAAATAAAATAATTACAAAAATACAATAAGTAC